TTCTGAGTTGTTAATAGTTTCTCTGTGTTGTAAATGGGTGAGATTCAATTTAAGCTCCCTACTCCAGTAGGAGTCATTTCTTACAAAGAAAAAAGAGAACTAACTCAAAAGCATGCTGCTCACGGTAGTTCCTGCCCATCTCTGTAATGAGTTTGCAGATAATGTGACTTCAAGCCAGTTCCACCAGCCCCCAAGTTTCAGCACCGCCTCGCCTTGGGCCGTGCTGGGTAGTGGTCAGACCTGGGCTCCCCTGTCCAGGGCTGGGGGCAGCCTTGCCGCCACTTCTGCTTGTGTGGCCTGAGCAAGTCATCGAACCTGTCTCCCTTGGGTGCAGCAGCAATCGTAGTATCCAGGCCAGGAGTTGCTGTGACGATGAAATCACACAGACAAGGGATGCACACCCAGGGCTGGGTATCCCCAGTGGATGGGAGGCAATATCACGGTTATCTGACTATTTCCTGCCGCCAAATCCAAGTAGCATTAACAAAGGTAAAATACACACACACACACCCCTCTGTCCCTCCCACCGTCATATAGTCAGTAACCAAAAGTTAAGTTACTTTGCAAAAAGCACTCTAAGAATTTCTGTGTGCAGAGACCCGCAGACTTTCTCCAGAGGCACTGGGAGATCGTGCAGCACACTTTGATTCGCAACGAACACGGTGAGGACACTGTTCACCCTTCCTCCTCGGTGCGGGCTCCCTGCATGGGCATAGCACAGAGCTACTTCATTTTAATCCTTCAACTCAGCCCCTTATTTTTCAGAAAGAAAAATAAGAACATTCTCCGTCCCTCTGTCAAAAATAAAGAAGTGTGAACTCAGGACTGCAATAGAGAAATGGAGAGATGCTTAGCGCGAGCAGGCAGGCGTAGGGAGCGACCCAACGGCAACAGAGCCGACAGTGTTTACCGGAGCTGCCTGCCTGCCCTCCAAGTGCGGCTTCGAGCCCCTCCCCAAGCGCAGGCTGCATCAGGGCCAGACGCGGGCCCTGAGCTCGCTGGCCCGGCACAGCTCTGATTGGACAAGGAGCAGCGGGCGCCGCACCCCTGAGGCCGCACGGGGGGGTGGGGGGGGCCAGGCCCAGGGCCAGCGCGGCGCTGGCCACTCCCACAGACCGCGCCCCAACCCCGGGACGTGCGCGGCCGGTGCAGCAGGTGCAGGCGCAGCCGCGCGTGCGGTGAGGAGGCGCGTAGGGCCGCAAGCTGGACCGAACCGTAGCCCACAAAAGCAACTCGCCCCCGCTTCCCCACACGCTAGCTCCCGGCAGGGCAGGCGTCTGCGTCTTGACCACGTCTCTTGGCTGCCAGTGAATCCTGGTCCCTGATAAATCCTGGCTGCCTGATTCTCTCTGAGACCGGCTCAGACCCCTTGAGCTCTCAGGCCTTCAGGCTGCCGCAGCAGGCACTGGCTGCTGCCGCCCCTTTTCCACTCAGGGACCCCCAGGGGCCCTGTTGCTCCACTGTCGTGGCCCTTGTGGCCAGTGCCTGGTCTCTTAACTTGCACCCTGCCCTCTGCCGAATGAGGAGCCCAAGATAGGATGGAATTAACCCAGCACTCCTGGGCAGAGAGGTGGGTCTGTGCTCGGCCCCGCCCAGGCACCCGCACGGGGGACACTGGCATGGGCCCCCCCCAACCAGAGAGGGCGGGCAGCCCCAACGGGAATCAAGGGAGCCCAGGTCCAGCCTTTGATGAGGGAGGGAAGGGGGCAAAGTGAGGAAAACCCATCTGAGCGCAAAGCCAAGCCAAAGGAAACAGCAGGGTCCACGAGCACCCCAGAGCAGCGCCCCAGAGCAGCGCGGGCGCCCCGCCAGGCCCCGAGCCAGTCTGCTCCAGGGGCAGGTTGCCGTTAGGGCTCCGTCAGCCTGAACTTCATTTCCTGTCATCTGTAGCCCAAATGGACTTGCGGGTTTTCCACCAGCGCAGTTAGTGAGGGCTTGGGAACAGCGCTGCTCCCGGACGGGAAGTTCTGAGCCGCAACCCAGACCCGTGGTGCGCCGAGAGCCCAGACCTGTGTCCCCTGGGGAGCCCGGCACCCACCTTCCAGCCGGCGCCTGGCCCACCCTTCGCCCTTCGCCGCCCCCTCCGCAGGGGCTGGAGCTGACCCCCCGGGCGGGCACGGGCGGCTGAGCTCCTCCCAGCACGCCTGCTTCTGCCATTCTCCAGAGCAGCAGCAGCCTGGCTGCAGAGCGGAAATGGGTTCGCTGTTCAGAGCCCAGAAAGCCCAGCCGAGGGCTAGGTGATTGATGCCCGGGTTCTGTGGCCCGGTGCTGGCCCAGATACCCACCCAACCCCACCGCACGCCCCGTGTGCCAGCTTCAGCTCGTTCAGCCCTGTCATTCAAGCCCCAGAGAAGTGATCTGAGCCTTGTTTCACTGGCGATTGAGGAAACTGAGGCAGTTTCGGTGTCAGCAGGTGGAGGCGGTGGGCCCGGGGAGAGCCTCTTGACTGCAGAACCCCCGGAGCCTGCTGGCTCTCCACGTCTCTCTGTGACCCCTGATGGGTCACATGCCCACCTCTGGGCTAGAAGCTACTCCCCGAACCCCACCCAACAGGTGAAGTAGTTGCTGCAAACCCCGACCACTGATGTTGGCGACGGCGGCAGAAGCACTAACCCTGGCCACAGGGGCCTGGGTCGCCTGGGAAAGCAGAGGCGAGCACAGGGCTGCGGGGCCAGTTTGTCAGGAGGCCGCCCAGGGCCGCCCACCGGGCTCTGCCCTTCTCGGTCCTGGCGCAGGGCAGCTGTTGGTCCTGGTCCTGGCCTGGCCTGGCATCCCGGCCTTGAGAGGAAGGAGCGAGGCCAGCTCCCCCGGGGCACTGCAGGGAAGGGGCACTGCCCACGGGCCCCTTCAAGGGCCGCTGGCCTCCTGCCCAGAGCACTGGGCCCCAAGCCCTTCCCGATACAGGCAATGGCAGGGCAGGGGTGGGGCGGGGAGGGAGATTGGTTCAGCCTGATCTCCAGGGCGGAGAGAAGTGGGGGAGTCTGTTACTGGCCCATCACGCGACCGACTTGTGGAACCTTCTCCAGTGGTCAGGAGGAGTTTCCAGAGCGGCCAGCAGGTGGAACAGGCCAAGCTGCTAGCCCTTTTCATGGAGTCAGAAAGCCCTTCTGCCCTCTTCCCAGCCGTCCGGCTCACCCACTGTACAGAAAGGGAAGCTCCAGAGACCCGGCAGCGGCGGGAGCCGCGGGGCCTGAGGGTGGGGCACAGCCTGCAGCCCCCCAGCCGTCTCCCCAGGCCGGGCCAGGCCCTGACGTCCCCAGGGCGGGCTAGGCCCGGACTTCAGTCCGCCCGTCTAGTTACTGTCCTGTTTCTCTCTTCTCTTCCTTCAGGGCGGCTCTGGGCCTTCTCCCCCTTGCCATCTGCGCCCCCCAGCCCAGCATCGGCTCCTGTACCCAGGACCCCCAGGCCTCGGTCTCCCCTCCCACCTGCCGGTTCCTGTCTCCTGCGCAGCCTCTCCTGACCTGCTCCTCCCTCAGCTCCTCTGGGCCACTTGTCTGCCCTGCGGGAGGGGTCTCAGCTGGCTCCTTGGTCTTTAATACCAGCTGTGCCCCCAAATAACTCCCTGTTTTTCTCTTTTCCCAGCACGTATGTTTTGACAAATATGCGGTTTTTCCACATTATCCAATTCTGACACCAGCTGACACGGGCGAAGGACCTTGCAGGCCTGTCCCCAAAGCTGCATGTCAGGGACCCCTGGCCCCTCCCCAGGCCTCTGGGGCTCGCAGACCGCAGGGAAGCTGCCTCCCAACAGCCAGGCTTACCGGAAAGACACAGCTCGGGACAGCGAGGTGGACGGGAGCAAGTCCGGGTGTGTGGGTGGCCTGCAGGGTTCCCACGTCGTCTCCAGACGCCCCACGCTGCCAGCACCAGGAGCTTCTCTGAACGCTCTCAGTCAGGGCTCTTAGTGGGGGTTCGTGGCATAAGCGGGTGAATTCTCTGGCCGTTGAGGAGCTCAGCTTGCAGCCCTTCGTGCCCCCCGGGGCACAAAGGTGGGAGGAGGGAGAAGGGGGGACTGAAAACTAACCCTGTCTCGTGTCTTCCCAAAAGTCACTTCACAAACCCAGGGGTGCTCGCGGGTCTCCTCTCACTTCGGCTACTGACCCCTTCAGGACCAGAGGGTGGAGCATGGCAGAAGAGGCTGCCCTTGCTCCGTTCACTTAGCAAGAGGGGTGCAGAGTAAAATACTAGTCCTTATGTGAAAACAGGGCTCCCTAAACCTCCCCACCACATTCAGGCCAGGCCCTACCGCCCAGCTGACCCCTCACTGGACAGTCCAAGCCAGCACCGTCAACAGCTCCCTCCCGCCCCCCATGTCTGAGGGCAGGTGTGCCTGGCGCCCCCACCTCTGCCTCCCCAGGCTGGTCAGCTCCGTCTGCTCTTCCCAAGTGGGGCCGGCACCCGCACCTGCTCTCTCCCTTGCCCCCAACACACCAAACCTCATCGGCTCTGCCCTCACCCCCAGCTTGTCTTCACCCACCCGCCAGTCACATCTGCGCAGTCAAACTTTATCAGTGGATGGAAGGAGGAACAAGAGGTGGCCCTTGCATGGAGAGGAATGCATGGCCCCTGTGAGGGACACTCATCACCCGGGAACACGCAGCCCGGCCTGATCCCACTGACAAGAAAGGCCTGGGGCAGGCGCACCTGCAGAGGCGAAGAGCAGGTGAGCGGTCGGCTCGCAGATGCTTCCCTGGGCACTTTCTCCCTACCCGCCACTAGTACTCTCTGCCATTACCCTGACAGTTGTCTCCCAGCAACAGACTGTGCCCTGCAACCGTGAGTTCAGCGAGAGGACGCAGGTCCCATCTGTCTCACTCTGCATTCGCAGCGCCTGGCACACGCCGCACTCAGAGGGCTGCGTTAGAGCGAGCTCGCGCAGCTAGCAGGGTCCCCCCACCTCCTGCGTCCTCTCCAGATTCTCTGGAACTCCCATGCAGCAGAAGCTGGAGCCGAGCAACAGAGCAGGGAGAGTTCGCGGCGACCTCCTCACACAGCTGCTCACCACGTGAGCCACCAGCCCCACGCAGACCCTGGCACGCCATCACCGCTGCCTGCGTCGTCTCTGCTGGGTGAGGCCCTCTGGGTAGAGGGAGCCCAGGGCCCGTGGCCTGGCTAGGGCTTCTGCGTCTGGCTCTCCCAGAGCCATATCTAGCTTTCGTGTGGGGAAGGGGAAGTGGCCGAAACACTGCTCTTGGGAACCAGCCCCCTCTCTCCCCACTGGGTAAAGCCAGGACTGGCCACTGCTCTGACCACTGCCAGCTGGCCTGGGGCCCAAGCAGACCCGCTTGCCCCCTTCCATGGGGGGGGCTCCCAGGATGCCCCCCTGGGACTTGATTAACACCTGCCTGCCAGGGAGGGGGGCTTGCAGCTTGGGGCTCCCTTGAGCCAGACAACTGGGCAGGCACCGCCCCAACCAGCAAGCGCTTCCTCTAGACAGAAGTGCCTGATGTTCTTGGCAACATGGGTCCTGGCCTCAGTAATGTTCTAAATGCGTACAAATAGGATGTGTCGCCTTAACGAGGACACAAATTATCTTAAAATGCAGTTGAATTATTTTTAAAATTGAGATCACGTGACCTAGGATGTTAACCTTGTAGAACCAGCAGCTGGTCTAGCACTGTTGTGGTCTGACGCAGCGGTGGACGTAAGCTGTGAGCTGAACTGACCGCCAGGACTCCACGGTGACTTGAAAACAGCTGTGATTTTGATCGCCGACAAAGTTGTGGGTAAACTGGGGTTTGTTTCTCGGCGCATAACCGAAAGGAATGCTAAATTTCAGTTAGCGGCTAATGGAAATGATCTCAATTTTTAAATAATTCAACTGCATTTTAAGATAATAATTTGCTCCCCCTCCCTCCCGCCATTTTGGGGCCTCTTCGATGCTTTCTGTGAACCTCAGCTCCGGAGAGGGCCTGTCACCTCCCGGTGTCCAATGTGGGGTTTCTTGGATTTTCTAGAACGGCCACACTCATTACAGATGCTAGTTTTTCTCTTTGACTTCAAAGATTCCGTACTCTCATCCTTTTTCCTGGGTTACTGTGTTATCTGGGCTCTTCAGTACAATGTGGAACAGAGAGGACAGTGGCTCCCTCGTCACAGACACAGTACTCCTTACCTGATGCCAGAGGAATGTGAGGCGCTCCTGTGCGCCCTGGGGACCTCCCTGTGCCAGAGAGGTTTCTCCCTGGCTGCTGCCGAGTACCAAAGGGAATTCAGTGCAAGTGGCGCCACTGAGCACATCAGTGACTCAGTTCCCTGGGCGGCCAGCCTGCTCCCCAAGGCTCCTGAGTCCTGGAAGTACAGAGGTGGGTCCCTGCCACGGCCCCAGTCCCCAGGGCACGAGGAAGGCAGCTGCAGCGTGGCGCAGTGGCACAAAACGTGACCTCCTACCCGGGCGGCCTGCGCCCAGCCAAGGCAGCGCTAGCACCTCGCCTTAGAGGGTCTGCGGAGACCCGAGCCAGCTCTGCTGAGCTCTAACCACAGGAGAAGCCCCCGTTTCAACCAGCAGAAAGGAGGTGCCAGCCTGGAGTTGGCAGTTAGGTGAGGGGGTGTCTGCTTCCAGTTCCCTCTCTAGAGGGGCCAGAAAGAATAGGAATACATGCTCCCCACTGTCAAGCTGGCTGTCTAGGGAAGATTTTAGTAAAGCACGGGCTGACATTTAAGATGGCCCAGCACAGGCCTTAGGAGCGGGATGGAGCCGTTGTGATGTTTTTGAAGAAACCTGTTACGCAGCAGGAGGTGGGAGGAGGATTGGGAGGAACAGACCTAGAAGAACGGTGGGCGGAGTGCTGCGCCCCAAGGGCACCCCTTCGTCCCCAGCACCTGTGAGCATGTCCCCGGCATGGCCTCGGTCAGGAGCCAAGAAAAGCAGGCTGCCTCTGGGAGGCAGAAAGCCGGGGTCTCCCCTCGCCCCAGCCTCCAGGAAGAGGGTGGTCCTTGGTTCTTCTTTTTTTTTTTTTAAGAACTGGGGTACAGGCCAGGGGTGCAGAGGGTGAGAGGCTTCACCAGAGACAGAGTGGGGAGCAGAACAGGCAGATCAGTGAAGCACACTGCTGAGGGGAGCAGCGGGCA